ATAACTGCAAACTGAGGTAGTCCCAGCAAACAAGGCTGGTGTCTTCATTGCTACAGCAAAAGTAAGTGCTAAGAAGCTATTTTGGTCTGGGTATTCCAGCCAGGAAGTTTGTTGTCTTGAGTGGGATTCATACTGAACTGTGCAGTGATTGTGCTTATGGACTTTCCATTGGGGGATTTTGCTACATGTCTGCTGGCATTTCTGTAATGATGCTCTGTGAGACCCTGTTTAAGTATACACCGGATGATTCATGGCCGCTCTAAGCATGAGCTAATCAGGGGTGCTCAAGGTTAGATACTTTATGCTGGTGCAAGGTAGCCATAAGCCTCACAGTGTGCAGATGCGCCTTTCTGTAGCAAAATACTGATATTATTGTTTGACAAAATGCCTTCTTTGTTTGAGCATGTACTAGTATATAAGCTGTCACTGACCAGACTGCTATGGCTGCTTTTGTATGGAATTAAGCATGTCCCATTTGCCTGTCTGTACATGCCTGTTTTTCTGATTTCCCTTACCGAGGAGGGTCAAGCCCCTGGTTGAAGAGCTAGCACCCAACTGTTGGCGTAGTCGGAGTTGGCAAGATTCTGGGAGCTTAGGGAGTTAGGAAAGCAGAGCCAGCAGAGGCCTGGGGAGCCACTTCCAGAGTGGCTCTTAAGGCTTTGAAATGATGATACAGAGAGCCTGCAGCTGTCTCCAGCCCGAGAAGTTAGCCTCCATAACAACCCACCCCTCCTTGTGGCAGCGACTGCAAATTAGTCACCGTTTGGGAGTAGGACAGGGAGATCACTCCCTGATGGACTGGTTAATGGCAGCGTCTCCAAGCATTTGGCAGGATGCAGGAGAATTGCCTGAGACTGTGAGTAAATGGACTACATATGTATATATTGTGCAAGTGATATGGAAATGGGCATGAGACAAGCCATATTTAACTTGAATACTTGTGGCCCTGATGACGAGCATCTTACAACGCATATGACAGACTTGATTCTTGTTGCCACTCCTCCGGTGGCATTTGGCTCGCTGGCAGCTATTCTGACCCTTTTTGTAGACCACTGTATACATGAGGTCACTATAGCCATGGCCAGCTTGGAGGACATGGAGGTCAAGTGACGAGAAAAGGGAGTAGCAAGACCCGTGACTGTGCAGAAGCCTAAGGTACAGTGGTCTTGGGATCTGGAAGAGCAGAGGGGGCGGAGCCTGTGAAAATATCCCACAAGCAAATGTGGGTAGACTTGCTGGCTGCAGGAGTTCAGAAAGAAAAGATAGATCAGCAGCCTAATGATGTGCTACTGGCTTTTGGAAACAATTATCAGTAGGACAGTGTTTCCAGAAGCTGCTGATCAGAGGCAGTTCCCTGAGACCGGTGGGCTTCCAAGATTACTTAGACTCCCCCAGGTAGGAGGAATATAATCTTCTAGACTGAGAAAAAGGCCAAGAGACCCAGTTAGGGGGATACCTGGAGGACCGGAGGCCTCATGTTGAAAATATTTACTGATCCCAGTGCAACGTGTGTTGGCACTGGTGGACATGGGTGCTGGCTGCAGCTTGTTGTACAGCAATCTGGACAGATATATGCCCGATGACCTATATAGACGGGTACAGAGCAGGACTGTCCATATATGGCAGGCAACTTTGACACTGGGTATTGGTCGCCTCCCCCCGAAGGCCTACACTGTGTATATCTCTCCCATACCTGAATACATCTTGGGGATGGATGTATTTACTAGGTGAAGGGTTAACTATTGCAATGATCCAGGGCGAGTTTTGCCTGTGGGTGCATGTGGTAAAGCCCACCACAAGAGGGCACCCGCATCACGCAGCTATGGCTCTGCCTAACACCCCCCTCCCTCCCCCCACCCTGCACCCCCCAACTCCCAGTGGTGCGAGTATGGCAGTATGGCAGTAATGGCAGTATAGCCTCCTGGGAGGGCATAAGGAGATCAGACGATTTTGCAGCTGGAGAAGGCAAAGATCATCCGGCCCACACACAGCCCCTACAATGCTTCAATATGGCCTGTAAAGAAACCAGTGGGCACCTGGCAAATGACTGTGGGTTACAGAGAACTGAATAAAGTGACTCCCCCATTACATTCCACAGTACCAACTGTAACGGACTCGATGGACTATTTGACTTTGTTGTTAGTGCAATATCACTATGTGGTGGATTTGGCTAATGCTTTCTTTTCCATAGATATAGCCTTGGAGAGCCAGTAGCAGTTTGCCTTACGTGGAAGGCCTACAGTGGACTTTTATTGTTCTCTCTCAAGGATATGTGCACAGCCCCACTATCTGTCATGGTCTGGTGGCCCAAGAGTTAGCCTCCTGGGGCAAGCCTCCCACAGTGACAATGTTTCACTATATTGATGACATCATGCTAACTTCTAATTCTCTTGCAGATTTGAATGCAGCTTCCAGTACTCTTGGGGATGGGTGGTGAATGACTGCAAGGTCCAGGGACCTGGCTTGTCTATCAAATTCTTGGGAGTTGTCTGGTCGGGTAAGACCAAGGTGATACCCGAAGCAGTCATTGACAAAATGCAGGCTTTTCCCCATCCTACAACAGTGAAAGTTACAGATGTCTTTTGGGGTATTGGAGATTATTAATTCCCCACCTGACACAATTGTTGTCACCCTTGTACCAGTTGTGTAGGAAGGGAGCTATGTGGGACTGAACTCCAGAAGATAAGGAGGCCTTTCTCGCTGCTAAGAGGGTGGTGGCCCAAGCCCAGATATTACAGGTTGTAGACCCAACACAACCATTCCAGCTGGACATGATTGTGGTCTGTGGCAACAGCATGGGCAGAGAAGGGTGCCCATTGGGTTCTGGTATCAGCTGTGGAAGGGGGCTGAGAGTCAGTACTCCCTCATTGAGAAGCAGTTGACAGCCACTTATGCGGCCTTGCAGGCCTGTGAGGTAATCACGGCACAAAGTAAGGTGCTCGTAAAGATTGCCTATCCTATAGCTAGTTGGCTTAGGTCCTAGGTGACCATGCCCATGTTGGGAGTGGTACACACCCCAACTTTAGCAAAGAGGGGTGCCTATTTAGAACAGAGGCAGCATTGAGTACCAGCCCTCTGTCACAGGAATTGCAAACCCTGTTGGGCCCTATGACATATGAGACCCTGTCAAGGGAGGAGGCTCTTATGGAGGAGAAGCTACTCCTTAGCCTGTTCCATGAGGGGGGACCACCCTTCCCAGAGATCATGTGGTACATGAATGGGTCATGTAGGGGGAATCCTGCTACATGGATGGCAGTGGCTGTCCATTTGGATACAGATGAACTGTGGTTTGACTCTGATATTGGGTAAAGTAGCCAATGGGCTGAACTAAGAGCAGTCTGGATGGTTTTGACAAAGGAACCTGGCCATTAGGCAATTGGTACAGACATCTGGCCTGTCTTTAAAGGCTTCATTTGATGGTTGCCACAATGGCACAAGCAGCAGTGGCTGATAGTACATTGTCCAGTATGGGGACAGGAAATGTGGAAGGATATATGGGAAGTAGGTACTTCCAAAGAAGCAATAATATATCATTTGAGTGGCCATAGACTGCTGTTAGCTCCTGGGAATGATGAGGCATATGCCTTGGCAAGGGTCTGGGAGGTAGTACCTTCCCCTGAGGATCAGGCTTGGTGGCTCCATCAGAAATTGGAGCATGTGGGACCACAAACAATGATGCAGGTGGCTAAGAAATGGAGCCTGGCCCTATCCATGGGGGAAGCCCTCGCTGCAGTACAAGGTTGTCCCCGCTGTGCTCAGGCACACCCCCGTCAATATGGCCTCCTCAAAGGAGGACCTCCCCCTGCAATATTGGCAGTGAATTTCATTGGGCCTCTCCCTCCAGACCAGGGTTTTAAGTATGTCCTGATGGCTGTGGATACTGCCACTGACCTCCTCTTCGCTTACCCTGCAAAGGAAGCTGCCCAACAGACAGTTGTCCAGGGCTTGGAACACTTGGGGGCCACTTATGGGCCACCCCTTAGCATAGCAACTGATAACGGAACCCATTTCATAGGGAAAGAGGTACAGAGCTGGGCCAAGGCCCAGGACATAGCTTGGCAGTTTCACGTTCCATATTGTCCCCAAGCTGCTGGGATGATTGAGCCTGTTAAAAGACAAGCTCCATCTATGGGTGGACCCACCTAGCCTAAAAGGTTGGGCTAGACCAGTGATGGCGAACCTATGACACGCGTGTCAGAGATGACATGCGAACTCATTTTTTTGGTTGATTTTTCTTTGTTAAATGGCATTTAAATATATAAAATAAATATCAAAAATATAAGTCTTTGTTTTACTATGGTTGCAAATATCAAAAAACTTCTATATGTGACACGGCACCAGAGTTAAGTTAGGGTTTTTCAAAATGCTGACATGCCAAGCTCAAAAGGTTTGCCATCACTGGGCTAGACGTTTGGATACAGCCATCCGATTGCTGAAGGAGTAGCCCAGGAAGACAGGTGCCTCCCCTTTAGAGTTAATGATGCAGAGGTATCCTCAGATGCTGCACATGCAGGTGAAAACAACACATGAACTGTTGCACCCTAAGGTACACCCACCTGGAACTTTGCTGCTGCCTACACCTGCCCACCTGGCAGAGGGGGAAGAGGCAGTGTGGACCTGGCCATGGACTGTTACTGGGGAAGGGCCCTGGGTAGCCCTTCTATCCCCTTGGGGAAGTGAGTATGATTACAAGTTACAGTTGCACCCCTTAATCCAGCCCTGTCCTCTAACTGTGCAAATCCAAACCGGTAAGCACAGGAAAGGAACATTGTTAAAGCGGACTTATGCTATTGCTCTCTGGCCAGTGCCCAGATTTCCCATTGCTTCCCCTGTGATGCCGGGCCCCTATGAAGGGGGAGATCTTGTTTGGTATCACCAGCCAGGTTGTCCTCTGATTCTAGCCACAGTGCCATCTAGAGGAGACACAGTTGCTTGTATCTTGCCAGAAGGCCCTGATCTCCATATGATGGTCTCAGTTTCTCTTTTGTCTCTTCGACCAGGGTGAACTTGGCTAACAGCGTAGTGTTGTGGGCACACACCTATGCTCGAGTACACAATGTCTCCCATTGTTGGGTGTACACAGAAATTCCCCCAGGATCAGCCGGAGGATTCCCATGGCGCATCCACCCTGCTACCACTGCCAATTGGACATGGCTAGCTGACCAGGACTTCGGCAACGCCTCCTGGGACCCAGTGCACCAAGTTACAGAGACTCTGATCCAGCAGGACCACGGCAATACCCGCCCCTTTATTGGTTATGCAGTGTGGAATGTTTGGGGGTGGCTGTTAGGAGAGCAAATAGAATTAAGAGAGCTTGCAGACAGGTGTGTGGAGCAGCAGCAATGCAGTAAGGATCACACTGTTGGCTGGCTGCCTCCAGACTTGTGCCGTAATGTAGCTACTAATGTCGAGGTCCAGAAACCCTGGAATGGAAAGCATTATAATGGCACAAAGCTTGTAGATATGATAATGCCAGGATACTTATGGAAGGTATGGCTGGCCCTACCTTCTAGAAAATTGGTCAGGTCGATATACCTGGGGAAGGCCCTACATCCGTGGGTAAATTCTTAAGACTTTAGGAAAGATTCCCCATAACTGGGGCTCAGTTTGCCACCAGTGGCATTATGTTAAACAGATTCCCTGGTGGTTTGCCCCTTAGTTGTGTTCCTTCCTATAGGAGAAACAATTAGGGTAGAATTAGAAGTGATAGTTTTAGCCAAGCATACAGCTAAAACTTTGAATCAGACCTGGCAAGCCCTTACTTTAATGATGGATGAAACCACGCAGATGCGTGGTACTGCAGAATAGAGTGGCACTAGATTTGTTAACTGCTGCACGGGGTGGGGGGTAGGGGCGGTAGGGACTTGTGCTGTCCTACGTGTAGAATGCTGTACATATATACCTAACAATCAAGAGAATGTAACCAGTGCCCTGGAAGAGATAGACAAGGAAGTACAGGCTACACAAGCCCTGTCCCATGACCCCCTCCAAGCTTGGTGGGATGGACTGTCAGAAGCATGGCACTGGGCATTTGTGAGTATTGCTATTGGAGCCAGAGTACTGCTTATATCATGCTGTAGTTTGTATTGCTGTTGTGGGCTCTGTACCCAAGGTGCTAGCATATGGACTAGCACCCCCATAGTAACCATAGAAACCATCCAGTGTAAGGGGCGGAGTGTGGGGCCCTGTCTAAGTATACACCAGATGATTCAAGGCCGCTCTAAGCATGAGCTAATCAGGGGCACTCAAGGTTAGATACTTTATGCTGGTGCAAGGTTGCCGCAAGTCTTACACTGCGCAGACACACCTTTCTGTAGTTATTGTTTGGCAAAGTGCCTTCTTTGTTTGAGCTTGTTTGAGCATATATATAAGCTGTCACTGACCAGCTTGCTATGGCTGCTTTTGTGTGGAATAAAGCATGTCCCATTTGCCTGCCTGTACATGCCTGTTTTTCCAATTTCCCTCACCGAGGAGGGTCAAGTCCCTGGCTGAAGAGCTAGCACCCGACATGCCCCCAGTTCCACTATTATAACTCTACCATCTTAACATAGTTGTTAGGGGAGGTCTTGAGCAATGGAGAAAGCTCTGTGCTAGGAATCAGGACACCTGGGCCAGACTGACCTCTGGCCTGACAAGCCATGTATCTAATATGAGCTGGATTCCTCTTCTTTAAAAGGGATATAGTAACCCTTGATTCCAGGGATTGTGTGTATGAAATGAGACTATGTGTATAAGAGAGCTTTTAAATTATAAAGTCTAGAGCAGGCAGTGAAAAGGGAAGGCTGACTGTGTCATTTTATCATTATATTATTGTTATTATTACTGTGTTACAATCACTATTTTTTCCCATAGAGCAGCAGTATTAGATTTGGGCTTGAACCACTGCCAGGAACATTGTGATATTTGAACACCTAGGCCTGCTCAAGTTGAATCATCTGTTTGGATACTAGTTTTTACCCTATCAGAAGGTGTATACATGACTAATTAAAACCAGTGACATAAGAATAAACCCTTGGCTGACACATATTTGCTAATACATATGTGAGACCAGGCTGCTTGATGCAGACTTGTAATTCAGTTGTTTCTAATCCCCAGTCAAGTACAATGGGCATTTCAACTTTCTCTTGGGGTGTTTTTATCACCCTGAACAATGGGTTGCCCCAAGGATCCCTAATCAGCATTTATAGAGAAACCGTCCCCAAAGATGCATTTAATATGATCATTAAAGCAGAGGTCTTGCTTAGAGAGCATTTCTTTTCCAGGGCCAGGACCTTGTGATGGCCCATGTACTTAATTAACCAATGGGTAACTTGTGGGAAAGGAACTAGCTATACAGGCTTCAGAAAATCAACCAAATAATAAAAAGAATACAGCCTCCATAGAGCTTGTTTTTCCCTGGTATTGGGATGTATAGGTAGGAGCTAAAGCCAAAACACTTCAGAAATAATAAAATAGAAAGTGGTAGTGGAGAACTGGGATCCAATTAACATGTCAATATAAATAAGAAGTGGAGCTCCTTTCTTCACCCCACTCACTGCCCCTAAATGGATTAGGGGGTATCTTTGGGGGACGGTGAAAAGGTAGTTTGCAGAAATCATGCCCTGGTGGGAAGGTCACCTTGGCTCAGAATTGTTCTGTAAGGTTCCAAGAGAGCAAAATCAGCCCTGTTCCCTGCTGGAGGTAGAGAGTTATAGCACTTCAAAGAAAGGGTTGAGGTCCAGGAGATCCACAAGGAAGTTGATTGCCCTGCCCTATGCTGCAGTGCAGGACCATTGCTCTTTAAACATGCATAAGACCTTCTAGCTGACCCAGGGAGTACAGTGTGTCTAGACCAGGGGTGGTCAAAGTTTTTGACTCGAGGGCCACAATGGGTTCTTAAACTGGACTGGAGGGCCGGAACAAAAGCATGGATGGAGTGTTTGTGTGAACTAATATAAATTCAAAGTAAACATCATTACATAAAAGGGTACGGTCTTTTTTTTTTTTTAGTTTTATTCATTTCAAACGGGCCGGATCCGGCCTGTGGGCCGTAGTTTGCCCACGGCTGGTCTAGACTCTAGAGGGACCTGAAAGAAGACAGAGGAAACCTTATAGGTTATACAAGGTAAGAGATACAGGGAGAGAAAAAGCAAAAACAAAATAAAACAAAACAAAACAAAAAACAGAAACCAAACCAAAACAAAACAAAAAACAAAGAAAGCAAAGTCCTTTCCATCCCGCAGGTGACATGATGTGCTATCTTTCAATGGAAGACTTCCTCATCAACACTTAACTATGGGTCAGCTGCTTTTCCTGGTAGTGGGGATTAACTATCTAATCAATATCCTAAGTCTCTTTCCTATTTTTGTGTGCTCCTCAGTGATGTTTTGAGAGTTATTTAGACAGTAAAGAAAAATAACCAGTGCCCTCCAACACCCCTGCCTATCCCTATGCCATACCAAGAGCAGTGTGTGCTCTACTCTTCCTTCCTAGTCTCTACTATCAGCTATGGAATCCATACTTTTCTCTAGGGGTGGGTATGTGGGGCAGGCTGCCTCTCCCAAATATGAACTGCTTTGCATAAGTTACTATTCATATCTGGACCTCAGTTTCCTGTTCTTTAAAATAGGCAAAATGTATGAATAAACTTTTTAAAAAATATATTTTATTGATTTTTTACAGAGAGGAAGGGAGAGGGATAGAGAGTGAGAAACATCAATGAAAGAGAAACATCGATCAGCTGCCTCCTGCACACCCCCTACTGGGGATGTGCCCGCAACCAAGGTACATGCCCTTTACTGGAATTGAACCTAGGACCTTTCAGTCCGCAGGCCAACACTCTATCCACTGAGCCAAACCGGTCAGGGCTGAATAAAGTTTTACAGATTGTAAAGCACTGAAGTATTATAATTGACAGATTTGCTTAAATAACAGCTGGGAGAGACTTTTAGAGAATGGATAATTTCCCCCTATGTACTTACAAATAAAGTTAAAGTCTCAAGTCTTCCTCAAACCAAGATCGGAGACTCTTAAATTGAATTGAGGAGTGTAGGAGGGTAGGAGTCAAGTTGGATGAATGCTCCTACTGGCTCCAGCCTTTATCTTTTCTTTTCACACCCCAGGGGCAAAGAAGAGAGATAGAAAAGTAGAAAGAGTATTATCTAACCTTGCAGCCCTTCTTTTTGACCTCTTGTGAGTCAGCACTGAACAGAAAGTCTCCTAGCTTCCCACTGGGGTCAGATCTTGCAGAGAATGTACATCCAGGTTGACTGCAAGATGTGTGGGAGAGCTGGTGGGAAAGAGTAAGGATAGGCTTGGTATGATGGGAAAATACATTACTTTATTCCAGTGGTTCTCAACCTTCCTAATGCTGCGACCCTTTAATACAGTTCCTCATGTTGTGGTGACCCCCAACCATAAAATTATTTTCGTTGCTACTTCATAACTGTAATTTTGCTACTGTTATGAATCGTAATGTAAATAGCTAATATGCAGGATGTATTTTCATTGTTCACGATCCACAGGTTGAGAACCGCTGCTTCACATTTAGGCATAACAACCTTATTTGTCTCCACCATCCTTCTTTCCAAAGAGAGTTGTTTTCTGGAACAGATATGCCAGAAAACCAAAATACTCCTACTCCAAAACACTGTCTTCCAGAAAATGAAGATTTCAAGGTATCGGAGATTCCCCTAGCTTTGCTATTTACCCCTACATCACTAAGTAGTTAAGGCCAGTCATTTTTCATCTTTCACCTGTAAACTGGGAATTGTAACCCTTGCCTTGCCCACCTTATTGTCAGTGTAAAGATCTAATAAGATGATGGCTGTGAAGGTACATTGCAAACTGTAAAGTGCAGCATCCATATACATGTAGTAAATTGCAGTCTTCCCATCCCAGGATAACAATCCCCTCTCTCCAGTGATGTTTTCTTACAAATTAAGTCACATCCAGCATTCTGGACTATATAGGCTGCTCCCAAACAACGGAGATGGTTGCTTCATTCAATTGAACACATTTTCCTTCCAAATATGATCCATTGTGAGGGAGTGGGCATCAGTCCAATAACCCATTACAGACATAAGGTTGACTTAGAAAAACAATCCATGGTGCCTACATCTGAGCCCTGAAGTTCTCTATGAAATAAGTCATGGGAAAAGAGTTCCATTATTTTATTCTTAGAAGCATGTAAAACTGGTGATGAGGGATTTGAAATTGATTGTTTTTCTCTAAACCAAGAAAACATTAATGGTCTTTTTAAAAAATTCCTCACTTGAGGATATTTTTTGCATTGCTTTCTAGAGAAAATAGAAGGGAGAGGGGGAGGGGGAGACAGAGAAATATCTATGTGAGAGACACATCCATTGGTTGCCTCCCACACATGCCCCAAGTGGAGCTGGGGATTGAACCTGAAACCCAGGTATGTGCCCTTAACTGGGAATTGAACCTATGACCATTTGGTGTGCAGGCTGACACTCCAACCACTTGACCACATCAGCCAGGGCACCCTACAATCAGGCTTCATTGAGAGGCTTAGGTTCTCAGTGTCCCCCCTAGATCTCAGGAACTTCACTGTAACCCCCCAAATTAAAGCTCTGAGCTCTGAATTTGGCCCAGGGAATCAAGAAACTCAACCTTAACCTTTAAAAGACCAGTCACCAGGAAGGAACAAAAGAGGCAAGAGTTGAAGATAAGTAAAAATAAAAGGAACTACTATTTTAAAGATAAAAAAGACACTTAGTTGAGTTAACTCCCCACTAAAGAAGAGTAGATACCTATATATGGGATGGAAGACTCTGGCAAATGAGCTAACTCCAAAGCTGTCACAGTAACAGAAATCTAGAAGATGAATGGGG